ACTTTTGCTGAAATTGTATCTTAAAAAACTTCAAATGTTCCAAAACTGATATCGAAACAGGTCAATAAGATAAATGCCTTGTATTGTGATAAAATCCAACTTGGAAATTAAGTTTGAAAAGCATTTCCGACGAGTTTCTGAATTCAAGATGTTATGAATTTCAAAGAGCACGCTGGAATTTCATTTTGATGTTCCGAAGTTCGTTACCAACTTGGGAACTTCCGAACGAACTTCCGAACCCGCCGCGGTAAAGTAATGTGAAATGCACTGTAAGGAAGAAGGAAAACTGGAGACGAAACCAAAGTAAAACCCTCGAAGCACAGGAGACAACTAACCAACAACTCTACTCACATACGTACAAGTCTCGATCCCGAGCCGCATCAGTGAGAGGCGAGCGCTTCCCATAGTTTATTAGGCATCAAAGCTCAAAAAGCACTCTACCGGGAAACCGAGTACTGAAGCTAAAATGGAACACTGAGGGAAAAACTTATATTTCTATAGAAAATGTCGAAGAAAAATTTGTCAGATGAATTCTAATATAGGGGAATCGAAGTACTCAGCATCTAATTGCGCTGCAGAAAGCACTGCACATATAGAGGCTTTGCACTATCATGTGATGGCAGCCATGACAGGAGGCATAACCGAGCGTTCTCCCTTGGGAATCTGAATTCTTTTTCATGTAAATTAGATTAGACCAGTCTCAATTATTCCTGATCCTGTCATGGCTGCCATCACGTGATGATGATGCAAAGCCTCTATAGGGCGTTAGCATAGCCTAATATTGAAGTAGTCCACGCAACACTTCCAGGCAATGTCAATAATAACTCATAAGCTCCAGAATCAATTAGAACTGAACATTGTCTTTGGTCAGGTGGATGAGTCTTGATACTGGATGAAACACTGGTCAAGTCACTGATCAAGACTGTGAATCATAGCTAACCGGATCCAGAGTCCAGAGAACGGATCTGATGTGAAATTGAAATTTTCCTATCTTTACAGTTATGATTAATATATTAGCCTATTAAATTCCTCTATAAAAAAAATCGAAAGCTGGACTCCTAACTCAACATATGCACGTTTTCACCCCGGCTTTGCTACTGGCCTCGACTCAATTCGTTGAGCAAGAACTAAGTTTTGAGACTTTGTTGTGTACTTTTTAAGCAGTGAATATACATAATATATAAATAATACCAAATAGTATTGACAAAATATTTTTTCTCATTAAGATTTAAAATGAGTGGCCATGTTGGATGATATAACAAAGGAGAGTAACGGTAGTGATAAATCTTTTATTAAATTTATTCAACATGGCGGCTGTGAAAACCATCAATATTCTTCGTATGCACGTGACGTCATAGACCAAGAAAATAACAACTTAAAATTAATTATGAATGCAATAAATAGAGAATATTACATGGGCGCGCGGAGATACGAAATTTATCTTCGAGTGTTGAAAAGATCTCTCACAAGTGAGCGCAGCGAACGAGTGAGAGATTTTCAACACGAGAAGATAAATTTCGTATCTCCAAGCGCCAATGTAATATTCTGTTTATCATATAATTATCAATGAAAGTATGTTTTGGCTTTTTCAGGCAATTCTTTCCGTGTATTTTTGAATAGCCATCGCAATGGTGTTATTTTCACGTGTAAAGATATCAAATTTTCGAAATAGAGAAAAATAGATATTTCATTGGTAATTATATAATAAACTCGATTCTTTGACATGTTTTAGAGAACTATGATGTGACTAAGTCGTAGGAAATTTCAGATCCTTTCATCCTTTTTGTTTCCGAGTTGTGCGAATCTTATTTTCTAATCGGTAAACCTCATCTTACATCTATATCTACATCTACATCTACATTTTGTTGTCAGCAGGAACTATACATTAAGTTATCACGCTAACTATGGGAAAATTAAATAGATAGATAAATTATAAAATATAAAATATAAAATATAGAGTATATAGAATAGCCTAGATCATAGACGAGACATGTCCCCCACCACCCCGAGTCTCACGCCCGCGCAGACAGACTTTATGGTCTGTCTTAGTGCGCATGCCCGAAACCCGGAGCAACAGAGAAACATGTCCCATCCCCCAATCCAGGCCACTCCACATATAGATATAAAATATAAATATGAAATTTATTTAAAAAAAAAAAAATCATCTAATTTCTAATGATTCTTACGCTGATTATGTGTCTGAAAAATCAAAGGAATAAAGAAAATTTTGCCAAATCAAACAACTTTAGTGTTGTACAGGCTTATAAGTTTTATACATGTTTGAAGTAAGTTTGATAAATTTTTGTCATTAATTTTTTTTTTTTTGAAATTTTGTACGCCATGTTGGATGTTTCTAGATATCATCCAGCGAGCTTCGCCATACACTTACACTAACAACGCTTATAGCTCGTTTTAGAAATTTTCTAATGCTCCAATTTTTTGCTCAGAGTTTTATTATGAGTAGATCTACATGGTCATAAGGATTGTTTTTTGATCGGCACCAAAAAATACTTTTGCACCAGCAAAACATACGTGGTTGCAAACAAAGAATAATTGTAAGAACTGACATAATGCTAAGTATGCAAGGTGAGAGAGTAACTGAGTGAGTGAGTGTTAGAGTAGGTAGGTAGGTAGGTAGGTTAGGTAGGTAGGTAGGTAGGTAGGTAGGTAGGTAGGTAGGTAGGTAGGTAGGTTAGTTAGCTAGGTAGGTAGGTAGGTAGGTAGGTAGGTAGCTATAGGTAGGTGGACATATGTTTGAACAATGATCGGAGCCAATCGACTTGTTAAAACGCTCGAGCTGCGTTCTTCATCTTTCCATGTGCTGAAATTTCTTCCATTGCTGGATTTTAAAGTATTTTTTGACTCAATTTGCATTAATGTTATGCTATTTTGTCTCAATAACCAAGCACAACCTTCAAGCATTGCTAAATACTTATTCGTAGGTAATTTCAAAGGACGTGTGCGAGATCATGACGTAAAGGACTATGAACTTAATTTGCATATTCGCACGTGTAAATCGGAAAAGAGAGAGAGAGAGAGAGAGAGAGAGAGAGAGAGAGAGAGAGAGAGCGGGAAGAATAGCAAGTCGAGATCATACTTTGTGTTAAAGGATAAAGAAAAGAATCGAAAATACAACACAGCTTAGTCGAATGCTGCTTAGTTTATTCAAGGAAATAAAGATAAGGAAAAGAATCGAAAATACAACAGGCCGAATTTGACAGTCTCTCAAGAGATTTTCCAGCAGAATATTAACGATCACTTTTCGCATGACCGATCGAGTGATTTGTGTTGACATCTCAACACCTCCATTCGTTCAAAGTACATCATCTAGACTTCCATAGCTGTTGTAAAGGTTTTAAGACTGTTTTGAGAGTGAATAATTTACTTTTTCTGGTAACAAATAATGTCTTTCAAGACTCAAGTAGTAATTGTTATTTACGAACGAATATGGCTGATAACCGTGTACTTTCGTTACTCAAACTGCGAGTAAGTTCTAATCTGTGTATTTCGTAACTCTACCGTATGTCCCATATGTCAGTTATTTAAATTTTAATTATTTAAATGATCACTTATCTATATCATGTTCGTGTTGATTTATTGTTCTCCTTTATACAAAAGATAACACTTTAGTTTATATTCTCTTACTTCTCTTCGATGATTCTCTTCGATCTATATCTCTACAATTTATAATTGCGAAATGTATGCTTAAAATATTAGCTTCTTTGAGTCACATATTAATAAAAATAAGAAACCAAAAGACACACAAACGAATTGAAGATTGTTCTAGTAGCTGTGGCAAAATAATGGGACGCTTTCTGTAATTGATTTCTTCGGTTATGTCAAAATTAAAGTTTGAATGAAATATGTCTGTTTTTCATCGCTTCATTGTTATTTTTCTCTTTGTGTAGACTTATGAACACTTTTTTGCAATTTCCCTGTTGATTCTGTTTTTGTTTTACCAACTGCACAACTTTTCCTTTAGTCGAGTTTTCCGTTTATTTTCAGCATCATCAATTAATCTCGTCATATCTTATTTTCATTATATTTTCCTTCTTCATCATATCTTACCTCATCACTGTTTATTTCTTTTATTATTGGAATATAAAGCAGTTACATGTACTAGTCATAGACTATGTATTTTTTTAGTTATGTGAAAGTTATAACTTTTACATTACTATACCTTTTTTTAATACTTTTTCTTTATCGTTTGTACAATTTTCGATTAAATAGGGTCTCAATAAAACTGCCTTATAACGTTTGTTCTTTTAAAGCTCAAAACGGGCTTTTGGTAGTGTTTTCGAAGAGATTCATGATAGAAACCACAAACACTTGGAAGAGAAAAATATCTTCCAGTGTTATTGTAATGTCCTGTGTGTTGTTAATAGATACAAAAAATCCGATCCGTGGCATGCAATTAATTTCGCATTTCTCCAGCACCCAAACACATAATTATATTATTTTTCATTCTTGTTTTTGTTTTTCTTTCAAAAGGTAGGTTAAGAGGGTTAATGTCAAAAAAGCAAACTTATTTATTATTCTTAGCTTAAGTAGTAGTCCCAGCTCCAGTCCCATAAAACTGGGACAACCATTGTCCCTCTGCACCTATTGAACTGAACCAAACAACGTGTTTATATAAACTGTTAATGCGTGCTTCTCATCCAAATTCTGAAATATCATCAACCAGCCACCTTTTTGACCAATTCCTCTCTTATTTTACATATTTGGCTTCAAAATTCAAATTTAGTAAAGTAAACTAAAGATTTACTCGAACTATTTTTTTCTCATTGTATGTTGAGAGTTGGTGACGCCAATCAGTATTTGATAGGAACAAAAAGCCCCGTTACATTCGTTCCCATTAGCGGTGTTCCCATTGGCCAACGGGTTTAATTGATCACTATGTGTGGGGATAGAAACCAGTTGTCAAGGCGAAACACAAACAGGCGTAATCAGTTAAGAACTCTTTTTTAACTTTCCCATAAAGTGAAAGCGAGTCACTACAGCGAAGCCTCAATGAGAGATGAGCTCTAAGGAACTATTAAAATGCTATCTTTAAGAGCTTCCTTGGTTCCTATTAAAACCATTTTGAAGTTATTGATGCTCCTTCAGTTGGTTCAATATGGCGTATCTCAGAAAGTCGATTATGTGGAGTTTTTGCAGGACGCTTATCATTCTCTAGATGTTACAATCCTAAGCAAAATCAGAGTCAAGTCTTCCATGCAGTGTCTAAAAAATTGCAGAAAAAATTCAAACTGTCTTTCATATAACCTTGGAGCAAAAAAAGACCAGCTAGGAACACTCTGGTGTGAGCTCCTACCCAATGATAAGCACAAAAACCTGGAGAAACTTGTGAGAAATAACAGCTACCATCACTACAGCAAACCAGTACGTTATAGTTTAATTCAATCTCACAATCACATTACTTTTTATCATTTTTTTTTTTTTTTTCCCCACTTATCTTAATGTGATCTCTTGTTACAGAGCCTTTGTGTAAATGCCATTGAGTATCCTAACATCAAAGAAGATTACATCTACGTGTGCAACTGTAAACCTGGATATACTGGCCTCAAGTGTGAAATTAGTAAGTAAACAGAAACGTTTATATTACCTTCAATGTCGAAGCCTGAGACAATGCAAAATGTAAATCTGTTTACTGTAGGGAGTGATTCCTTAGACTTCCGAGCCAGAAGCATATGTTTAAGCATTCCGCTTCAGATTAGTCGATTTGGAATTTAGTAGTTGGGAAGAAAACCGAAGAACCTGGAGAAAAACCCTCTCTGTAGTCTGTACTAAGTTAGGTAAAGCTTACTAACCTGTAGATCGAACGTTTGAATTGTTTTTTTGGGTTTTATGCCGGGGGAAACCTTAGGAGAATTCCTCAACTATCCGAAGAAGAAATTCTTTCACTCCAGGAATCTATACAAACCTGCCAAATGCGCCATAGCGGATTATTATTATTATTATTATTATTATTATTATTATTATTACTATTACTATTATTATTAGGACCTCGAGGAAGTTTACCGTGCTTAAATTTTACATCTATGCTTTCTTGTAAGTTTAATGTCAACCTGAATATGTTATGCGAAAAAAAGCAAGGTGTTAGAGCAAGGTGCAGATGAAGTTGCAATAAAGGTTCACAATTAAACATTTATGACATACAAGGCAATTTCACGATCAGTAGGAGCGTTTTTATTTATTAAACCTCCCAGCGAGGACAACTTATTGTTCGCTGATATTTGTTATTAATAGTGTTGAAAATGCTTTAGAAATGTTTTTTCGGTTTGAACCAGTGACTTGTTTTCTTAATAATTTTTTAAAATAAATATTTGCTTTTGTTTCTCTAGCTCTAATTACCAGAAGCATTTTTTGCTATTTTAGTACTTATTTATTTGGACGTTTAGGATTGTGGAAAATATTCTTGCGAATTCTTGGATAAATATCATCTTCCACGGCGATTTTTAGATTTTGTAGTCGGTAGTTTAGTTAAAATTTAACTTTCAATTGAATGTTAAAAAAGTTTTTGGAAATTAAGCAAAGTATTTAAATCAAATTATATGTTTCTTAAATCTTCCGAATTTCTTAATGAAAATCAAAAAAATTGCGGATACAAAAATTTTCGGATACGTGTGGACGGGGCCTATATCTAAAGAACTGATCTGATCAAATAGTATTATCTAGATAAAAAGTTTATTTTTTTAATAAAGTGAGATATCATTAAAATTCGTTTGATTCATGACAAGCTTTAATCATTCTATTGCTGATTTAATAAATCGGTTTTTGATTACGGGAACGTGCACCAGAACTTGCGCCGCTTTCACTGGGTTTGAATTTAACTGGCGCACGTCTGCCAGGTGAATCTAGTCGCGCAATGCATTGTTTGCCACAACGGATTTTCCAAGTATTTTTTAATTATCTCTTGTAAAAACGGAACATTTTACACCAGCAATGACGAAAATGCTATTTCTATGAAAAGATAATAAGTTTGATGAATCTTTCCACGGATGAGTTTTAAAGTTGTTTATCGACCGAAAACTTGACTTCAACTATGAAATATTGATCTACGAACAAAATGTTCGCTGATTGGCTAAATCTTTCGAACTGAGTAAAGCGGAATCACCTGATGTCCAGTTTAGATGTCAAGTGAGACTGGATATGTGGAGTTTTTGGTTCAGTTTTTTTCTCTCTTCCTAGTCTTTCTCTATTTCATTTTTCTTATTTTCTTTCGTCTTTTTCTGCTTCGTTTTAGTGTTATCAAGAATAAAAATTCAAAGACTTTTTTTGAGTTCAAAGCAAAAAATTATTATAATGTAAAGGTTTTTCATTATTTTGACAAAGTTAAACTGACAACATCTCTGAACAGGAATATCAGCAGGAATCTAAAATAGGTGTAATGTTAGAACTAACATAAAGTTTTAATTAACCAAACTGTATGTTGAAGGCTTCACCATACCGGCTACAGCTTGAAATATTATATCAGTGAGATTCGAATCTCATTCGTTTTGCTTCCTTGTAATAGTCTCTCAAGAAATATTTCTTTTCGTCTCAATACTTCATTATCTTTCTCTTGTATGCATAATCCATGTAGAGCTAGCTCTTAGATGAGCTATTTAAAAATCGTGAAATATAATTGATGCTGTGCTTATTCGACTCTGGTATTTTGCATTGGGCGTGGTAATTGATAGACCTTGATACAAAGTAACTCCTTCATTTTACTAGTATTGCTTACTATCAATCACGTGACTTTTTGGAGTTGACTGGGGGGCAAACAAGCGGTTGACTGGGCAACTAGCGGATGCTAAGTCAAAACATATCAAAATAAGTCCTCAAACTATTGTATTTGACTATTTTCACGACATCAAACCAGAAAACAAGAGATTAAAACAACCTCCAGGATTCTACGAGCCATCAAAAAAGAGCTATTACCGGAAGTGACGCCTATTGATAGCAACCTATTCATTGTTGCACATCCTATGATAATAAGTCCCTAGAGCATAATCAAATGGCTTATCGTGGTACGCACGTGATGCTAGTCTTCTTCCTGATTGGGAACTCCTCGACAGTGTATTTTTCTCGTGTTTTGTTTTACAGACATCAATGAGTGTGAGAGCAGCCCTTGTCAAAATGATGGCTTTTGCAAAGACGAGATCAACCGCTATCGATGTGATTGCAAACCTGGATATGATGGAAAAAACTGCGAAACAGGTAAAATTATAGGTGACTTTGAATTATCTATTAAGTACATCAAGTTAATTGCAAATAAGCATAGTTTTCTTGCAGTGACGTATGAGGGACACACCGTCCCCGTCCCCGTCCCTGGAAGTACGTAAGATATTCATGATGATGGTGAAGTAATTTATAAAACCTCGTAGTCTACTAGGGGTGTTCAGTACAAGTTGCTGTTTCAATAAAGACGCGCGCATGGCTTGATAGCTGCCTATATGTATTTTCGATATTATGTTTTTGTTGTTTTGTTTTTTCTTGCTATAAATTCAAATGTTATTTTTGTGACGCATTGTTCTAGATATTAACGAGTGTGCTAGTAACCCCTGTCAAAATGGCTCGTGCATTAACCTCATAAACAGGTACGAATGTGTCTGCACTGAAGGATTCACTGGAGTAAACTGTGAAACAGGTTAGCAAGCGGTCCAAATATATTATTTAGAAAGTAGTAGTCGAAAAAGTATAATAACTATAATATAGTGTATTAGCATTTACGATATTTCAGGACCAGCATAATTAAGATCAAAGAAGCGAGCCAATAGACGACTTCCACTAACAGGTCACGTGACCCTACCTCCCTTTAAACGAGCAGTTTTGTCAAAAGAAAAAAAAAAGAAAAAAAAAGTAGATGTTGTGACGTATAATTATTTTACACGGGCTTCCTTTGGGAAGTGCTGGTTCGGAGGAGGGACCGGGGGGACCGGGGGATCGAAACGAGAGTGAGACTGTCCTAGAATCCCCTCGGGACAGCCAAAAATTTGTAAGCTTATTTTTTGATGTTGTTAGAAGTTTATTGACACTTTGATGACTATAAATAATTTTTTGACTCTACAGCGAATCGTGTATTCGTGTGAACATATATTCGTGTAAACGTGCAAACGATTACGAAGGAAATGTGTAAATGATCGGCGAACCACGTTGAATAAAACCTGTGAAAATACACGCATTTCGACTTTCGAAAGGTTTTGGGATTGTCGGTATAGGAGCAAAAAAAAACGCGATCTTTGTTGATTGCGTGACCGAGGTTCCAGTTTATGTTTAGAAGTTTGATTACTGTTACATAGGACATTATTAGTTATGAATCCCTTGATAGCTGGTGTTTGAACTTTGAACAAAGCGCGCGTAAAACAATTTTTTTTCAAAATCCTATGCCCAGAGATTCAAAGAGCGAATTTGATTTTTTGACCCTTGCCACGAATTCTTGAATTTGTTCGATTCTTGTGGACATTGGCTCTTAAACCCGGCTAATTCAGATATAATAACTACTTGTATCAAACTAAACCTAAAACTTAGCAATATTGCTGATTAAAGCACAAAATTTCATACAAGACCGGTTTTTCTCTTGATTTCCAACTTACTACCACATAGGAGTTATATGAATTCCTATATCCTCTTACATCGTTTTTTATTTTCTTTCGTAGACATCGACGAATGCCAAAGTTCTCCTTGTCAGTACGGAAGTAGCTGTATTAACCTCGTCAATAATTACACATGCATTTGTGTTAATGGTACCACTGGGCCAAACTGTGAGATAAGTAAGTTGTTCAAATTATGAGGTATCATAAGTTTTTTCAAGAGAAAATTTTACCTTGCATTACTATTGCATTACTATAGTACTATATACACTTTCTAAAACTAAAAAAATGCGGGAAAATGGTTTCTTTTCAAAAATTTCATATTTGATGGAAAGAAAATTCGCAAAAATTTGACTTGACATCTTTTGCATTATTTACTTCTTCAAGAACATTTGATTTGTCAAACAAAACCTTAAAGCCCCGTTTACACTAGCGATTTTTGCGGCGATCTTTGCTGCGATTTTTTTATTTATTTTATTTTATTTTTTTATTTCTTTGCGATTTTGTCCTTAATAAATAATAGTAAAGAATTTATATGTAAAGTTTATTTCAGGATACCAAGATTTTCCTAGACGAATGTCTCTTTTGAAGGATGAGACAAAAGATTTCATATTTCCGAAAATTGCCACAAAAATACTGTCATCCCAAGTATAGCGAGGTAGATCCTCACAGTCACTCATGGTCTCTTGATTTATTACCATTCTATTCTTTTTATATCAGATATTGATGATTGTGGCTCCTCTCCTTGTCTTAACAACGCTACATGCATTGACCTTGTCAACAACTATGCCTGTAGTTGTCAATCTGGATTTGAAGGGACTAATTGTGAAACAGGTAATGGATAGAGAATACTTCATGGAAAGTGCATGCGCGTGTACGGTTTTTATTCACGAGTTGTGCAGTATCAAAAAAACGAACGAGCGAGTCTTCGAACGAGTGAGTTTTTTGATACGAAATACGAAACAACGAGTGAATTAAAACTGTACAAAGCACTTTCCATGCTGTATTCTGTTTATTATATACAAACGTAGACTTGTTGGTTCATAGTCCTCTCTCCTCTCCATCTTTTCGCCTAACCGAACGAATAAACTCGGCATACTGAAGAAATGTCTGTAAAAATGTTTCAAAAATTTCAAGTCAGAGACGAACATTTCAAGTATTATTATGAATCCTGACTTCAATTATCATATAGTATTTTTAGCATAATACGAAAATTCCTATTTAAAGAGAAATAACTGAAAAGTAACGAGTCTATAATAGTCAAAACACGGAAGGTAGCAATAAGGCAGCAGAAAAAGCTAGGGGTGCACGAATTGATACAGTATAATAACAAACATTTTCATCTACAGACGAGCTATCTGGCATACTATGTTAATAATTGCCCAACATTTGTTTGTCACCTCAAATGTTTTTAATATTTCAATATTTGATAACTACGGATTTTACGTAATAAATTATATAGATGCTGAAGCTTTGAAATATTCAAATAGCAAAGAGTGTTCTAAATATTGCTGTTTTTCTCATTGTCAGTTTCACCTTGTCCAAGCAATCTACAGTATTCGGCAGGTGGCGTGTGCATGTATCAAGGTAACGGGCAATGGCAAGATGGCTATGCTGAGTGCAATAGCATGTCACTTAACCTACCCTCCATCCACAGCAAGGAAATGAACGATAAGATAAGAAATTCAGTTAACAGTTGGTTATGGATAGGTTTGAGGTACGTTAATGACATAAGTGAATTTGCATGGAGCGATGGTACCGCTTTAGATTACAGGAATTGGAAGGACCTCCCGTCCATTAAATATGAAGATGGTTATTGTGTGTATATGAAGCCTGAAGACAGCGGTTACTGGTTTACCAATCCTTGTAACTATGGAAACAAATACATTTGCGTATAGTGCTTATACTATATAATCAATTAAG